CCAGCTTTTCATCCCCCAGTACCCCCAAGTCCTTCTCCTCAGGGCTGCTCTCCATCCCTTCACCCCCCAGCCTGTACTGATACCGGGGACTGCCCTGACCCAGCTGCAGGACCTTGCACTTGGCCTTGTTGAACCTCATGAGGTTCACACAGGCCCACCTCTCCAGCCTGCCCAGGTCCCTCTGGATGCCATCCCGTCCCTCAGGCGTGTCACTTGCACCGCTCAGCTTGGTGTCATCTGCAAACTTGCTGACGGTGCACTCAATCCCGCTATGTCATTGATGAAGATATTGAACAGCACTGGCCCCAGTATGGACCCCTGAGGGACTGTAAACTACCAAAGGCACAAGAAGCGGTTCCAGCAGCCGGACCACGCTGCTCCTCTGTGCCGCTGCCAGCAGCGAGGCTGGGGGCTGAGCATACTGAGCCTGTGATCAGGAGGCCTCGTAGGTTCGGATTGATGTGCTTCTCAATGCAAGGTGTGCGAGCCTGCTCTGCCCTGCTTTTGTTTCTTGAGGTTAAATAGAAGATGAGATTCTTCTGTAGTGTCATTCAGGTACTTTTCGTGGATATGAGAGCACACGCGCTTTGTTTTAATTTAATGTGACTAATGTATCTGCTCGTAGATCCTGACAACTGATCCAGGCTAAATAGAGGGGACAAATTCAGCTTTCTAATAGGAATCGCTCTAGCTTGCTTGAACAGTAAAATACATACGAGATATTAGACCCTGGGCAATTATTTTAGTCATTTCCGTAATAAAAAGAAATGTAGATACTTGCCCAGTTGAAAGATGGAGGCCTCTTTAAATTTGGGTTTTTTTAACTTAACGTTTTAAGCTCCTGTTATTTTACTAGAATACCATGAAAAGATGGGCATCGCTCCCCCGTTCGCCTTCATCTTCCCTGGCAGCTTTTTCATGACTGCCAGTGTTTGCGGCTGCTGCACCCAGTTCGGTTTTGCCATGGTGACAGGGGCGTGAAGGCTCTGCCTGGAGGATGGGGGTTCAGGGGTCCGTGGATCTGGATTTTGTCTTAAATTTCTCATAATCAGCCCTAAGCAAGTTCAGGCCGGTTAAACGTGATGCTCAGGTTGGAGTGGAGCCTGGCTCCTTCTCTGCACTGTGGGATTGCACTGATGTAATAAGAGTAAAGTATTAAAAACACGGTTTTATTGCAAGGAAATGTCTGAACATGCAATTCCCTGGCTGGTCAGACGCTCATTAACGTGTTTTGAACACGGATGCTGGATTCTTTCCAGAAGGTTGAACTTTGCTGCTAAAGGTTGCAGACAGATTTCTTCCATATTTTTCCCTTACCCTACATTTTGGGGTAGAAGAGTTTATAAGTGTAGGAGAAACGACATCTTACATGAAATTACCAGCTTTGAAATGTCTTGAAGGTCTATCTAATAAATTGACTTCTAAGACAGAGATCCAAAAGGTTAAATATGTTCTTCTATTGTGTAAAAGTCCTATTAAAAAATGACCTTGTGAGATTCCTTGTTTATCACGCCAAGTATTACAGGAACATTGCTCCAGCAAACCAGTTTAATGCCCAAACATGGTGCAGTTGATCCGTTGATTCTTTTCTAGTTTTCAGATCGGGCACCTGCCACAAAGGAAAGAAAGACACGTTGCAGTCAGAAGCTACCTGTTGAAATGACAACGGTTTAAATCGGTCCACAGAATCAGAGAACAGTCTAGGCTGGAATGGCCCTCCAGAAGGCAGCTAGTCCAACCCCCAATTAATATTAACTTGGTTGTGCAGGAGAACTAAACACTATTTTACGGCCCAGGGAGGGCAGGGGAAGAGGCATTCTGCTTCTCCGGGTAAGGTCAGTGCAGCCTCTGGATACGGACATGTCCGTAATGTCCGTAATTCTCTCAATCTAAATGCAAGGGCAATATCTGCCTGCTTTTAAAACTGCTGAGAGTCTGCTAAACTACCTCAGATAACAAAACCATCTCATGCTTGTTTTATCCCTCTGTCTTTTACTGCAACAGCTGATTTACACGTCGTTTCTGTTTAATAAAGAATTGAGCCCCAGCGAAAGGTCGCAGCGATTTCTTTAAGCACTATGAGTTTGCAGTTGCAGTTAGTAAGGAAGTCATTAATGTCCAACAGAAGTTAATGAAGAAAAAATAGCTTTTTATAAGAGTGGTTAATCCTGTCAGCCAGCTGTAAATTTTGTAAGAACAGCAATGAAACAGCACAGACAGCTTGCTCAGCACAGTGCTATGCCAAGTTTTAAAGAATTGGTATCTAATTTGAAGTACTAAATATGACCAAATTATCTTTAAAGTGCAGCTTTCATAGGTGTTTCATGTGGCTCCTGGGTTTTTAAATATTATTATAAGCAGCCCTCTGAAGTGGCTTTTAGCAATAAGAGTCAGCTTTTACTGAAGGACTGAACTTTTACGCCGTGCTTATTGCTTGCGCAAAATATAAGAGGCTGTGCCCCACGGGATGGATTTCGGTGTGAGCTGTACGGCTGTACTGATTTGCCTCTCTCGTTAGGTGTACAACAGCAGAGGACCAAATGGATCTCCAGGCAAAGCTTTCAAGGTCCACCTCCAGCTTTGGGACACAGCCGGACAGGAAAGGTAACAGAGTTCAGTTCATTGGAAAGCAGTTCTGAGTTTTTCACGTTTCTGGGTAAACCATTGGTGTGTTCAGATGAAAAATCTCAGAAATCCTCCTGTTTTAGGACAAGAAAAATATCTTCCAGAAATAAAGTTTTACAGCCACCTGCTCTTCCTTTGTTTTCTTTAATATTGACTGTATTGAGCAGTGCAGGTCCATTGACTCAGCGTGTGTAATCACAGCAGGTGAATCCGTTTCTATCCCTGCGATCTGTGATACACTAAATGCTTCAGTATCTTTATTTTTCTTTTAACCAGCCCTTCTCTCTCTGTCTCTGTCTCGCTCTCAGTTAAATCAGGCAGAATTTGAACTAATGGATTAGTCACTGACGGTGTTTATATTCTCACATATAAGCTTCCTCTGGTAGATTACTAACGCACCGATTAATAAACGTTGACTGGTGTGATGCATCATAGCTAAAGTGAAAGTCAAGGATTATTTTATTTTGTTTTTACTTCCAAAGGAATGTATGTACACTAAATCTTGCAGACTCTTCAGATTTCAAGATATTTTTTAAACGGAATTGTTGCACAAGCAATTCAGAAAAGCTTTACTTTATCTCTTTTTCCTTTACTCGGTTCAGGCTTGCCAGAAAAGCGCTTACCTTAGAGATCACTTTGTATTAATAGAGCTATGCTGTCTTTTTTTCTTCCACCTTCAGATTTCGAAGTCTCACCACAGCGTTCTTCAGAGATGCTATGGGCTTTTTACTGATGTTTGATCTCACCAGTCAACAGAGCTTCTTAAATGTCAGAAATTGGATGAGTAAGTAGAACCATAGAGCTTGCGTTTATCGGTTGACTAGAAGCTTTCTTGTGTATTTTAGGCTTCTAGGCTTTCTGCACTTCATTGTTTGTGAGCTGGAAAATGCTCAAAGAAAGTAGTTGTGTCTGGTGCAGCTGTAGGTGGGGTACTTGCAGCCTGTAATTTGGGGTGAAAGCTTCATCAAATTGGAAAGATACATGCTTTTCCTTTCTTTTTTCCACGATAGACCGTCCCAGGCATATTCTTGATAATCTTGTTTGGATTTGGTACAATTTGAATAAATCTATTGCCTCTTGAAAATTCATGGCATTCGACACTTCCTTGGCCATACCCCGTATTTGAGATGATATACAGGAGCTCGGAAACTGTACTTTGGATATCTCGGTTATCTTTATGGCGTGTTTTCTATTTGTAAAGCAGAATGTGGTTCCTTCCTGTCTGCTTTGAGGTTGAAGTTAAAATTAAGATTGGGCTTTGAGGATTTGGTTTGCAAGCGCATAGCGTTCGCTGTTGTTGGTTTTCCTTCAGACAACGGCTACACTAAAAGTGAAACAAAGGTTAAATTCTTAAAGTTTGTTTTTAATTGAGGGTACTTGGAGGGCTGGAAGGACAGAGGCCAGTGCCTTTCCAGCTGGCAGTTTTCCAGCAAACAAGCTGAAGTGGGGATAACGTGAGAATCCGGATAGCGTTGTGAAAACAGCTCCATCTTCTTCAGAGATTCCTTCCTCCCACTAAACAATCCCTGTCATCGCAATCTTCCACTGCTTACCAAGCTGAGTCTCTAAGTTGTTCTGTGTATACTGCACCTTTTCCAGTCAGTCCCCCAGGACTGAGGCGAGTATAAATAAATGGCTTTTGTACAGTAACTTACAAGGGCTGAGGCCGTGGACAGTACTTGTGCGTGGATCTTCAGATGAATAAAACTGCATTTAAAGCATTGAGTATATCCAAGAGAAAAACACGCTTGAGGATTTTGGCCTCTGCCTCTGAAGAGCTGCGTTCGCAGATGACGTGGGACGTTGTTTGTAATTCCACCACGTCCGTGTGAGTCTTGTAGAAGAAGAGCTCTGGCTGGTGGAGGTTCTCCTCTGCTAAAGCACTCTGTTTGGTGCACCTCATTGCAGTTAACTCTTGCTGTATGTTGGTAAAACAAATACTGGGAATAATTTTCTAGTACCATTTCTACTTCCTACTTTGAAAAATTCCCCTTAGCAAGTAAACGTATGACAAGGGAATGTATCTGGGGAGCAGGAAAGGCGTTTTGAATTGTTTTGTCAACAGTCTTGGTCTCTAAGGTGGTTCCAGCGTTCTCTTAACTCCTGTTTATTTTTGCTTCTAGGTCAGCTGCAAGCCAATGCATATTGTGAGAATCCAGATATAGTCTTAATTGGTAATAAAGCTGATTTATCAGACCAAAGGGAGGTAAACGAAAGGCAAGCAAAAGATCTGGCAGACAAATATGGGTAAGCAAATTATGACAGAAGCTAAATTTAGTCTGTAACTGTTGTAAGTGTAGCTGATGACTGGCTAGCGATACTTGCAAGTATACTTATAAACTCTAAGATTTGTAGGCATTGCGGTATCATATATACCTATATCGATACCCAGCTTGGCACGCTTTCAGATCGACCTGTTTGAATAGGGAATACAGAGAATGCAACACACCGTTCTAGTGGTGTGGTCAAAATATTACAACGTAAGAAATAAGGCTGGAAGGAAACACTCTTACTAGAAAACTACATTCTTGGGATGTTGGCTTGTCCCAAGAGTTCAGGACAGGGTATAGCACAGGCAGATGAACACTCAGTGTCATGAACTAAATAACTAACAGTGTTTATAATTTGCTTTTCTAGTTAGTTTGAGAGTGGAGACACCTGTGGATTTTGGTCAGGTTCTAGGTGTGCAGTGGCACTCAATTTATTTGGTTTTCCGTGATGGATAATAAAGCTGTTAACGGCCTTTTTCTTGTTCTAGTGAGCCTTCTACATTTCTTTGCACTAAAAGCACCTGCAGAGTGTCCTGTAACTGGATAAATTGGCTGATAATTACTGTAGTTGGTAAACAGTGCTGTGGGCAAAAAGAATGTGTATTTTTTTTTTTTCCTTAGTTGCCCTTAACTGTACAATGGGGGATGTTCAGAGAGAATTGGGCCAGCAGCAGAAGATGGCCTAAGAGACTGTGAGGACTAGTAAGCAAATTAGACTTAACAATGCTAAAAGAATATTAGAGTTGTCTGCAGCCAGGTAAGGAGGACAGTGACACTGAGGAGAAGGTAGCCCATGCCAGGTTTCATATGATGGAAGTGCTGGAGCAATTGATAATCTTCTCTTCTGAAAAAGATCATTTGGAAGGCAAGGTTCTGGATTCAAAGGGGATTTCAGAAGGGAAACAACTAAGTTAAGTTGTGCTTATAAGTAGACAGAAAGGGAGGGAGCTAGGACTTACGGGGACTGCTAAATAGCAATAGTTGTAATTATCTGCCTAAAAAAAGGTTTCTGGTATGTTCTGTGGTCCCTGAAACGTTCTGTAGTGCAGACCTAGGTTTCTCTTTAAAATGGACTTTCTGGTTACCTGAAAGACCTTTTCAGCCAAGGTTTGTGCTGATGTTATCGCAATGTGAAGTCAAAATGCTGGGATACATTTTGTAAACGGGAGTGTTACAAAGACTTGAGTCTCGTTTGTCTTTAAAAGTCTCTCCAGCAAACCTTTTCCTTCCCACCGTAGCATACCGTACTTCGAAACAAGTGCTGCTACCGGCCAGAACGTGGAGAAGGCTGTGGACACGCTTCTGGACTTGATAATGAAGCGTATGGAGCAGTGCGTGGACAAGACACAGGTCTCGGACACAGCCAACGGAGGAAGCTCGGGAAAGCTAGATGCAGCAAAACCAGAGGAGAAGAAGTGTGCCTGCTAAACGTCACCTCTAAACTGTGAGAACCAGTGAAAATATTTCATCAGAATACGGCTGACCTACCACCAAATTCAAACCGGCTCTCTTGAGCCGTGCGCAGAAGCAAAGTTACATTGTTTTATTGGGATTGTGCGTTTTTCTCCAAAGAACTGGTTTAAAACTAAAAGCTGGGTTTCGGTGAGGCTCTTGTGCTGAAATGCTTCTTCCTGATACAGTGCCATCTTCGTGGAAAACTCTCCCACCTCTTCTTCCCCGCTCCTTTTCCCCCCAGCCCTCATCTTTATTTTTCCTGTGATCAGGATACTGAATAGAGGAAAGTAGCTTTATTTTTTTAAAAAAGGAGGGAAAGAAAATATTGTCTGCATACACTGGATATTAAAATTAAAATGGAGGTGGGTGGTTTTCTAGGTCTGTGCCATTTTTCCACAGAATCCCGTTTCTTTATAATTCTTAATCTGCATCAGGGACCGTGTGTTTTCTAAGGCAGAGATACAAAAGATTTTATGTGGCCTATTAAGAAAAAACTTTTCTCATTGCACAGAGTAAGCGATGCTGTGAACCCGTCTTGACTGAATCACGGATTGTGGGTGGGTGGTTTGGGTTTGGGGGCAGGAAGCAGGGCGTTTAATTTTAAAAAAAAAAAAAAATATTATCAGGGAATTGTGCAGCATTGCTTGTGTTGCCAATAATCCAAGCAGGGATTGGAACGTTATGGGGAAAAGCATGCAGAGGGATTCTGACGCTGCAGGGACAGTTTATAAACAAGAGAGTATAATGTATGAGAACAGAGAGAAACTATATTTTATGAAACAACTTCTTACCGTTAGCAAAAAATATTCTCCCCTCCTCAACTTAAGGAAACTATCCTTTTTCTTCTTTTCCTCTGGGTAACTGCGTATCGCAGGTAGGACATAGGAAAGAACTTGTTTGCGCTGCCTAGAAGGGAACTGCAAACTCTGCTGCGCCGAGAGAGCCTCTAAATGATCGCTACAGCTCTGTCGGGTCCTCCGTACGCTTAGGTTTTCAGCGGAGGACAGCTTTCTCATACCCTTAAATTCTCTGCAAGAGGGCAAAGTGGAAAAAATGTGATGTGGGGACTTGGAACGATGGGAGTCCCGAATACGTGACTGACTGGATAGAAGCGCGTTGCAGAAGTTTGCAGGTGTCTCGGCGCGGAGGGTAGGAGTCGCTCCTTTGAAGGGTGCAAGGCAAAAGATTTCTTCTACGGGTGAAAGCAAGTTCTAGTGAAAAAGCAAGTTGCTTATCACAAAGACAAATACAGGAAAAAATAAAGAAACATACTATATTTATAAGTATAGATCATTTTCTAAACCAAGTTACAGCATATTTATTAGTCTACCCTGTCCTTTTTTGTAGAATAAGCGTTCTGTTTTTATACAGGTGGTAGTTAAAGGTCTATTTGTGTTTATTGCACTTTAAGCTACTTTCAGATCACTTGGGAGGGTGCAGATTTGGGGGGGGGGGTAAAAATGGATCTCTTCACAAGTCAAGCTTAATTGGTTGGGTTGGCAGGATTGCAGACTTTCATTTATTTAAATGTTTTCAGCTTTGATTGATTCACAATTGCAAACTTTGTGAACAGCAAGCTCAGAAAGTGTTTTAGTGCTTCCCAGAAATGGAGATTTTACCAGATTCACTGCTGAAAAAATAACAGGTTTTTCTGCCCAGCTCCTAAAACGATGTTTACTTGATGATTTGGCATGTTAACAGGGCAGATGGTACATCTGTAGGAGCAGACCCATTGGGTGAGTAACCAAATAGCTGCGATTACCGTGCCAGAAATCTAACTTGCAGGCTGTAAAGACTATCTTAAGTGATAGACTATACCTAAGGCTATATATATATATATAGTGTATACTATACAAACAGGTATAATGCAGGTCCTTTTGTAGGCTATAAACAGTCCTAACGCCTCCAGAGGTGGAAAAGCTGTTGTGGCAGTCAACAGGTAGAAGGTTAAGTAGAGTGATAGCAAGCAAGCTGATATTCAGATAGGTTCCTCAGTTACCTAAGACACGTGGACTGGAAATTTAGGGCTTTCTGTGAAGTGAAGTTGTATTGCTTTTTAATATGTAGCATAAAACATAATTTAAAAAAAAAAAATTATAATATGTCTTGAATTCCTGAAAATGATGATCCGAGGAGCTCCCTGTCTCGCTTTCAAAGAAATCTCTCATTTTGTAGCATCAGATTTTTGTCCGTTGAACAGGAGCGAAAGAAGTTGCTTAGAAGGGTAAATCACTGACGGTCAAGCAAAGCGCGTTTCCCAGAGCAGCTGAAGTATCGCTTGTCTAAAAGCTGTTACGAAGCTGAAAGCGACTTCAGTAGCAGACAGATGATTCATACAAAGGTGTGTAAAATCCCAAACCTGGCACTGTTTCAAAGCACCTTGATGAAGCTCAGTTCTATTTATCTCTCCACCTGCTGAAACTAGCACTCTTAGAAGGAGAATAATTAAAAAAACCAGAGCAGTGATACCCAGAACAGTGTGGTCTGGAGGGAGTTGTCTCCTAACCTTGCCAGTGAGCTTCAGCAACTGTGAATTGCCGGAGCTGGCGGTCCGTTACCAGGGAGCCCCGTTCCGTAAGGATACGGTTTCCGAAACTCTCCAGCGCGGACGGAGGGAGCGTATGGCTATCCCTCACCGCCCAGTGTTGCTCGAGGGGTCTGTTGAGGAACGAAAGGGAAATGACTGCAGTAAAAGTTCCATCGCTTGGTTTGTATTTATATACTTGCTGATACAAGAAACTGAATATAATTCTGTGGGTTTTCTTAAAAAAAAAAAAGTCTGCGAATGCATGTGAAACTATTATCCCAAAAGGATTTTGCCATCAAAACTTTGTTTGGAGGAAAGGAAGAGAAGTTTAAACGTGTTTTCTTTCCTGGTAGGTAGTATAGCAGCTCTCAGTTATTAAATTTAAAAAAAAAAAAAAAAAAAAAAAGGAACATAATAAGTGATTCTAAATGGTTACTAACAGTTTTGTTGTTTATCAGGTTAACTCTCTGAAAAAACTAGACAATGAACTCTTACTAAAAATCACCTTCTGTCCCCTCTCCCTCATCACTTGACTCTTGCTCCGTTTTTTTTTCTTCACAACTCTTCCTCTTAGGTTTCGCAGGCCCACCAGCAGATTCACCTCCTTACCTGCCCACTTGGCGACGTCCGTCTGTCTTCCCGCAGCGTGGCGGCTCTTGCGAACCCCCGCTGAGCAACTGCAGCCCTGCAGGGATGACTCAGGGCCACTCCTTGCTGCTGCGGTAGGAACCGAAAGCGATAGCAGTGTTAAGGTTCACGAGTTCTCTGCAATACCCAGGAAATAATGGTAATTGCAGCAAAGAAAGAACACTACAAGGGGGCTACTCGCAGTCTTACAGAGCCGTGCCTGTACAGAAAGGAACTTTGCTATCCCGCGTGCTGGAAGACCCTCTCTGAGTTCCACACCCGCTTTCTGGTTGAAGGGCTTTCCTTCACTTCTGCTAGAGCTCTGTAATGGATCCCCTTAGGTAATTTTTCCACGGTGAGCTGGATGCCCAGCGAACCCCTGCGAGCTGCTTGTGACCCGCTGGAAAAGAGCCGGCGGGGCGGTGCGGCACAGCCGCGTCGTCCGTACGGGGGGTAGGGCCGTCCTGCGTACAGGCTGCGGTGACCCCGGTGAGGCGCAGCCTCTTGGCACAGCACTTTACTCATTCCAGCCCTCCCGACTGCACTGTGAACTCCGGAACGTATCCCTCGCTGGAGCCACGTATCCTACCGTTTTCATCCTTTTTGCACTCCTGTTGCTCGAAGTGTTTCACTTTAACGCGTTCAGTCCTATAAATTCTTCCAGGACACCAGCCTGCGAAATTAATTGGCTTTCAGTTAACGTCTCTGGTAGGATCTAGCCTCATCCCATCCCACTAGAACTTGAATTCAGATTCTGCTGTTGCAAAATTTGATTATACTTGTTTGAACTGGGAGTTAAGCATTTGCTTTTGAGCACAAATCCAGCTTGTTTGCAAGCCTGCCAGATAACCCGCATCAGGGCTGGAGAGGGAGAGAGAAGGTCCTATGATACTTTATCCAGGGTGGTACTAAAAATGAAATGTCAGCGCAGGTGTTCTAACCCTGTGGGCTTTTGTCTTGAATTTCGGTCCAGGCACTGGTTTCTCAAGGTCTCTTTTTGTGTCCTTTTAGAAATTCCTTATTTCAGTTTTCCAGTATCCCTCCAGTGAAGCGCTCTTGCCGCGGGCTTTCTTGCGCAGCGTTGTGTGGTCACTTCTGAGCTGACCAGCGCTGCGCGCTGCCAAAGGCGACGGCGATGGCCGTCCTTCGGAGGTGCGACTTTGCAGGATCTTATGCCGAGAATAATTTTGGTTGCCTCTTCTCTCTGCATAGTTCTGCCTTCCTCGTCTCCGGCAGCCGTCTCAGGCTGTGATGTTTACCAAGACAGTTCAAGTTACCCAACTTCTTGTTGAATCTCTTCCCTTAATCCTCTTGGCGTGTCCCAGTTAACTCACGTATATGGCGTAACACCTCTCGTCTCATCCTTAGAGCTCCCCGTAGTCCATTCTGCTTCCTGCTCTACAGGTATTTTTGTCCTCCCAGTTTTAAGCATGAATGTAAAAACGTGGCATCAAAAAATGTTAGTATGCCATGCTAGAGCAGCGCTGGGGTGCTGACCTACGGCGACAGGCACCACAGCCATCCCCTGGTTGCGGCTCCTTCCGTTCACCTGCAGCCTTTCGCTCAGCGTGTCTCGGTGGAAGAAACGTGTCCCTTATCCTTTGTTAAATACTTGCAGTGCCAAAGTCTGGTGTTGCTGCTCTGTTTATAAACTGGCGCATTTAGTGAATTCAGACCCTGCGGTAACACTCAGACTCAGAGGAGTGAGGAAACTTGGAGTCAGCCGGGAATGCCTTTAAGCTGATGTTGCTGCTCTGGCTCTGGATGTTTGTGCATCCTTTGCTGGCCTTCCCCAGCCCCTCGCCTTGGAGGAGCAGTGCCAAGACCTTTTTTAGGAAGGCAAGAAAGGAAAGGTGCTGTCGTCAAATGGGAATTTTTTTTTTTAATGCATACATTGAAAGTCCCTTTTCGGCTGCAGCAGTGAATTTACGGTGCCTGTGTTTGCGTTGTGCCACTGCGGTGCCTTGGCCAGCCCCGCTACCCGGTGGGCAAGATGCGGGCCGGGGCAGGGCCTTGTGCTGCTTTGCATCCTCGGGAATGAAACAAGTTACCTGCAGAGGGGTGGGAATACCTAGGGCTGGCTGGCAATCACAGGATAGAAGCAGCGCTAGAGGCAACACGCTTTAGTTAAGAGAAATGCCCTTCAATGTTTATGGTGTTTACCAGAGAGCCCAGCTTGAGAAGTTAGTTATTTAAGCTTGTGTGTAAGTGCTTGGCTGAATCGGGTCTGGAGCGTCTCTGTGAAGTAAGGAGCTAGACAACTAGAGCTAAAGTGGTGTAAAATAGAAAAAAAAAAAAAAACCAACCTGCACAGCAGTACTTACTCCATGAACATACAGATGTGAATAAGCTTATTTTTATTATTTTAAATATTGTCCAGCCACGAAGAAAATTATTCCATCAACTGAAAAAGGCCAGGAGAGTGTTAATGACCGTTCTCCAGCGCAGAGACTTTAGACGCTTCAGCAGATGCGCTCCAGAAGTCCTCGCAGGCTCTGTTGCTGGCACGTCGCAATGCCCGTCCAGAGCCACGAGAGCGCTGGAAACGGCTGGGGGCCAGGAGATAGCGTGTGGCACATCACCTGGTTTGGTTCACAATCATTTAAGCTCCTGCCTTCATTTCATGAAATATTTTTAGCTGTGATCAACTAGTAATGTGGGCTTTTTTTTCCTTCTTCTTCTGACTCATTTCTAAATAAAAGCATTTGGCAGGGGAGCAACCCCGAGGCCCTGCTCTGTCCTGGTGGGTACCAAACCGCGGTGACGGCGGAGGGCTGCCCTCGCAGGGCGGCGCAGCCTCGTTTCTCAGCCCCTGGCTGAGGCGGTTTCCCCATTTCTCCATCTCCTCTTCCAGGGCCGGTTGGGAGCCAAAAAAAAAAAAAAAAAAAGGGAAAAAAAGAGGGGGTTTGGGTGCCTGAAACTTTTTTTTTTTTCTTTTTAAAAGAGGAAACATAAGGCAAGAACAGGCACCTTGCTGCCTGCTTGCACGGCTGAGAGCGGCAGTAAGTACGATACAGCAAAAGGCAGTGGAGAGCAGCTGCCGTTTCCTTGCCGTCTTGGTAACTTTATAAAAACCGATTGCCTTAACCCTTTTCTGAAGGCTACATCTTAGTGAACATGCTGAACGTGTAAAGGATTGTCAGACGTACGTTTACATTTTAGAGGAGTGGATCATGTAAGAAGCTTTTAAAAGTTGTATAGGATGGGATTTTGATACCCGCTCCATAGCAGCTCTTTGGGACTGTTGCAAGGTAAGAGGTTTTTTTCTCCTAGAACCGTTTCAATCCATGGATATAACTGAAGTTTTCAGCCTAAACTTTACAAAAAAAAAAAAAAAACAAAAAAACACAAAAAAATCTGGAGCTGTTACTTCAAAATTTGTGTTCTTGGCACTGTAACTGAAGAAAAGCAGCAAGCGTAAAAATAACCTCAAGTGACTGCTCTTTTTAGCCAGGTGTGAACGCTGTAGGAGTTTCAGACCGTGCTCTGATCTTACTTACTTACAAAGAAAAGGAGAAAAAAAAAAAAAAGTGTTGGAACTGATGTGAAGCTGTACAAATGAATAGGTTTTTACCTGCCTGCCAGGAGACCGGGCTCGAGGCACCTTTCAAGAGAAAGCCAAATTTTCACACCTTCTTTCCTGTCTTAATAATTCTTCTACTTTAAACATAAATTCCCTCCCCTCAAAAAAAAAAAAAAAACCCACACCCATACAGGGTAAGTTTTGTGGTGGTTTTTTTTTTTCCAGAGGATGCTGTTGACTCGGGACTCTGATGCTGGGCAGATCTGTTTCTAATTTATTATTATTGCTATCTAAACTAGTTAAAGGCAACAGAGGAAAGGATTCTTTGCTGCGTGCTTTTGTTCCACCCGGTTACCTAGTTACAACAGAACTTTAGCAAGTAGACCCTGAAGTCGTCCATCCTCATCGTGCAATAGGGCTTCATGGACGAACTGTATAGTAGAAGACGCCTGTTGTATCTTACTCGACTTATGGAAGTTCAATGGTTCTTCTTTGGTTTTGTTAAGGTATCTTTCGCCTTCCAGGTAAACACTAAGCCCCCTGTATCAATCACCTTTGAAGTGTTGCCTCCCGTTACGCTGCTGTAAGCATGTTTTACGTTCGTCTTCAACAGATCTGTGCTATGCCTAGTGCTATGAGCGTGATTGAAACTCTCTCCAACACAACTAGTATTTTTTATTCTAGATGCCCCTTGACCGGACCGTGGCGCTTGCTTACCGATGTTCATGTCCCTCTGTTTTACCAAAGTACCCGTGGCTTCAAAACATACTGTCACCTGGTTCCCCGGCGTCCGGGTTCGTGTAATACAGCTGAGGAATGTATCCTGTGACTCGGTTTCTGCACCGTTATTTTCAGAATAAAAGTACATTTTTAAATCCGGTGTCTCGGCCGTTTGGGAGGGAGGCAGAGGCTTCTCCCTAAGAGCTGCAGCCGCGTTAGGCAGCATTGGCAGGGAGACAAGGGGAGGACCAGGGAAGGAGAGGCAGGGCTTTTGGTTGCAGCACCCAGCCTGGCCCGTGGCAGCTCAGCCTCGGCACCCTGGCTTCAACCTGAGCTCAGTTTCCCTCTCAAGAGAGGGATGGGTAAGGCCTGACCACCAGCTCCTTGCCCTCACTCGGTGGGGAAACGGTACAATTTACCCCAATTAATTAAATTTACACTTACAACTTACAAAGCTCCCCCTCTTAAATGGTGACTAAAAGCCGGCAGGCCGTGCAGGGCCGCAGGCAACCGCCTCGCCCTGCTATTAAGCAAGTGCCAAGCTTTTCTTTGTACCTTCACCGAGTTAATCCCTGAGTGACACCATGTGCGAATAACCTATCTAAAGTTAGGTAAGAAAAGGAGCAAACAGAAACTTAGTGCCTTTAAACCTTATTTAAGGCTCAACACCTTTATTTTATTTTTTTTTTTCCCCAAACGCCGCTCTGCCTGCATGTCAGGGATTAGAAGACAGAGCAGGGACACGGCCGTTCTCAGACAGACCGGGTCCCACAGCACAGAGGTAAACGTGGGTCTGCAAAGCCGCTGTCGCTCCCCTGGGGACACGGTTTAGCGCCCGAGGCGTGCCACGTCTCCCGAGCAGGGGATCGCTGACCACCGCAGCACCTCTCCCGCTTTAGGGAAGAGGGAAAAAAAAAAAAACAGCTTTCCCCTCCAAAAGGGATTTCGGCCAGAGGCAAGGCTCAAGGAGGAGCATCACGCTCCTGCTGACGTGGGCAGAAAACTTAGCATTTGCCATGGAAAGTTTTCAGGAAAGCAAGAAACCAGAAAGGGATCCGCTCGCTCCTTATGTCCGCGACATAAACACGCTGTGCCCGCGGGGTCGAACGCTGGAGGAGAGCTGAGCCCCCTGAAAGGGCAGGGCCCGCGCTCCGACCGCAGGCGGGAAAGCGGCGACTGTAACACCGGACCAGGTAGCCCAAGGTTTATTTTCTACTCTTACCTAAACGAGAGTCGCGGTTAAACTGAACCTCTGCTGCAGTCTGTGGAGGTGGGAGCCCCTTCGCGCAGGCGGGTCCTGCCGCTGCCCCCGCCACGGCGGGCCCGCGGGGCTGCGCA